ACAACACTGGCCTAGCAACTTGCTGTCATAGTCAAATGTCAGTAAACATCCAGAAAATGGACATGAAGTCTATACTTGTTGCTTGCAGTGGTGCACCAAAAACTCAGAACTGGAAAAGGATGGTACACACTTGTTTTACACTGGTATTCAAAAGTCACACAGAACCCAAAAAGCACTTGTCGAGTCAAACTAAAAAAGAATTGTTTTCAGACAGACACATTTTATGTATTAGTTTTCTAGTGACTATACTGTAGGTTTATTCGGAATGACTTGTGCAGTCTTTCCTAGCTATTTCACCATCGAAATTAATTGGGATCTTGCCAATCTGAAACGATTTCATGTTCAGGGTTGAAATCTAAGACCTGGATCCAGGCCAGACTTGACTGTGGATCCCAGCTGACGTTTTCAATGATAATGGTCTTGGTCTGACTGAGAGTGGCAGACTTTGCCAATTCTGCACGCACCAGAGTCATAAAGAAGTCAATATTTGTGCGGTTGTTTTGATGTGGCAGTGTTATACCCTATAAACACTTCTACATTATACTTCAGTAGAGTCCTAAGTTTGTTTATAGTGAGGATGTGCTGTTGCCATGGCTTTTAACTTACCGTACAAGCGTGATACGTGTTGAAGTTGTTGCTAACTTCCAACATTTATGAGCTTCTTTTAACCATGGAGCTATTAAACACACCTACATGTATGTATTGTACACGTACATGGACACATGACACATGACACCATTTTTCACTCAAATTTATTTACGTTTTACAAATACCGTACATGAAGCTGTAAGCTATCTTGTTTATTATACTAACAACCAACAAATAACAGTGCATCTTTTAGATTGTTTATGAAAATACAAATGTATAAAGTGCCAAAAGGTCATAAGAATCCTTGAAAACAAGTAACCACAGGGACACCTTTTTTTAAATTTATTTTCAAGCATGTCAACAAAACCTTTGATAAAGAGTGTTTACTTTGAGATAACAGTTAGAAAATATGTTTTTGATAAGAATAACATGTTTTGTGCTTGACCGAACAAAACATCACTTAAAATCGTTTCGAAAAAAACCGTAATCTAGAATTTCTGTTGTGACCCAATCAGCCTTTGAGAAATACATGCGCGTGTCTTGTTTCAACTTAACAGTCGCTTTCAATAGGCCTAAGTAAAGCTCTCTTTTTAACATTCCTGTGAGAAGTGATCACTGCAGATTGAAGGAGTTTAAGGGGGCCAATCAATACCAAATAGACTTTAGAAGATAAACGTGTTTACGAACATACCCCACTCAAAAGTGGGCCATTACCGGTTTCCCGGTTACGCTGTTGAAGCTAATGCCAGGACGCCAAGCTACGCCGTTGTCTACTGCTGAGATATTGAACGTCTGCCCCATAGTCTAGCCATTGGTCTAGTCAGTGCTATCTGACTTCACTGGGGCAATTAGACAAAAATCCAATCTGTAAAACTAGACCAGTTCATCTCTACAGGGCACTCTACATGTATGTCAAAGTTATATTTATATTTCCTGAGTTACTGACCGCAAACAATGATTTGGGCCAATTGCAGAATAGTGCCAAGCACAGAACAACTATTTACTTTGTAAAGAAAATCAAACTAGCAAGTAGCATTGCAAACTTCCTGAATCCTGTGAAGTTTGACAATCTCAAAATCTTTTTGCACTAAAACAAAATTGTGAAGGAATAATTCCAGTTCAAAATCCAATGTGTCCAACAGTATCATTGGCAGTTTTGGGAGGTTTTTTTTTTTTACATAATTACATTTCATATGGTTACAACTCTAACCCTTACCAACGTCAATACATCTTCCTTGATTTTTGTTCAATAGTTTTATTATTGTACTGAAGTTTAAAATTTCAATAAAAGCTTTCTTGTTTGTTTTTTACCTTTCACAGCAATGTTCACTTAAGGCTGACCCAACATTGGTTGTTGTTTTATTACTAAGCAGATTTTCCCCCTTTTATCCCGACTTCTGGAATTGTTTAGAAGTTGTAGTAAGACCATTGCCCATTCTCTTTGAAGGCTCTGGATTTAAATCTTGTCAAAATAAACCAGATCCACCCGCAATCTCTCCCAAATCCTCCAAATGGGGGTTGGCGGTCCCCAACAAGTGTTTGCCGAAAGCCCCCGATGACAGACTGTTCAAATGTGTGTGCATAACCCAACATTTTGTTATGAGTAATTTTACGAGGAGGCATGCCACACTTTTGAGTCACTGAAGCTTTATGGTTGATTTCAATCCCCTCCTTTAAGAAAGACAAAAGAAGATGAAATATACCACAACAGATGGAAAAGAAAATGCAATTATGGTTTATTGACTTTGTGTGAAGGCCAAAACCTGGAGGAGGTCTCGTCTTGGGAATTATCATTCGGGAATAACAGTCTTCTTGACCTGTAAATTGAAGGGCGAACTGCAAACGTCTTTTTGTACATGTATAAGGGCATATAATGTACATATATAAATGTAAGTTGACAATGCACTCTCTAAATGTAAAAGAGTGAAAAACCACTTGAAAAAAGAGTTGTCCGCCATATGGCTCTAAGAGCGGAAGTGTCATTCTTTAAGAGTAAAGTTTTCATCTTTTACAATGTATAGTGGTTTTCACTATTTTATAGTGGTTTTCACTATGGCCCATGGTGAACAACCACTCTTTAATAAGAGCCATATGGCTGACAACTGTTTTTGAGTGGTTATTATTCTTTTATTTGGAGAGTATTTGGAACAGAGGAATGCTCAAAGTACAAACAACATACAGATAAACACTTTGGGGGAATGAATTGTAATTTATGTAGGTTCTTCTCTTTGAGTGAATAGTCAATTAATGGTCCCTGAATGCATGGTCTGTATCGTGCAAATACATTTTTATCCACTTAACGTTATTTTGTAACAGAAGTGAATTTTGTCCAGGTCCAAAATTGGGCCGGAACAAGGACCTAGACACAGTCCAGTCTATAGAACCTTGTACTTTTGTAGATTTCAAATCACCTTTGTATTATTGCCTGCAATTAAAATGGACTCAACACAGGCAATTTCAACAAAACAATTATAAATTATAGTGGTCAGCTTCTAACCATAAACTTTCATTTGAAATCTCCATTCCCACCTCCCTAGTTTCCAGTTTTGTGGACCATAACAAAATGGTCCCTCTTGCTCTGTCCTTCACTGGCCTTTTACCACGCTACTGTCCACCCTGTCAATACAGGCAGCAGTGCGTAACAGACAAGCGCTAATGCGATTAAACAGGTTTGCTAGCGTGAGGTCAAAGCATCTGCCACTGAAGCGCAAATGAAGAAAATCAACGTCATCACTCCTCAGCCACAGTGGTGCCCCGTACTAGGTGAAAAAATAAAAGGATGTAACAACGACAATCAGTGCAGTGCTAATGATGTGCAATTAGTTCTTAATTCAAGGACAGTTGTTATTTACAACAGATTCACTGGCGTCAAATAATTAAGCGGCGTCGTTGCTCATTGGTGGATGGAGGGGACGTCTCCCGTATTTTTGTAAATTGTATGTTTACAGCTCACATCTTTGCTCATTACGTTGTGGAGGACAGAAACAGCAACAAAAGGATCCACGTCTCTTTGATTGAGTTCCAATACTTGGGAAGTGAAAGAAGAAATAATTTTCATAAAGTGGGGCTTAAGGTGAAGGCAGACGCCCCGACTCAGCTTGTTTAACAAACAGTAAGAACAAAAAAATTCACTGAAATTTCTTTGTTTTGGGCTAAATATTTGAAATTGGCAGAGTTGTTGTCAAAATGTCAGCTCTACCAATGAATGACCACTATTGACCACATAATAGACCCTTGCCATTCAAACAAAGAGCTGAAAGACAAAAAAGACTGTACACTAGTACTGAATGCAGAGAGTGTGTAGGGCCTGAACCACCCCTCCCCCTTGACAAGTCCCTTAAGGCAAATCAACCATCCACACCCCCAGCAAGGCCCCAGCCCCCCTCTCATCCTCCACTGTTCCCCATTAAGGCCCACTAGCCCCATCCCATATCCCACCCCACCCCACCCTAACAAATGACACTCCTGATACAACAATGTCCCATTCAAAGACAAATCATATCCTCTCTTTCAAAATGGTCCCGTTATCTCTCTCATCCCAATCCACCCCTTTCACTCCCTTCGTTCATTCAGATCCAGCAATTAACACCTGCTCTTAGAGTGGAATTTATGAAATGAATGAAAGCGGAAGGCTGACGAAAGAGCATCTCTCAGTTTGTCTTCTTTTTGTTGACAAGCACTGAGCTGAGTTCAGTGCCCAGTGCTGTGAAGGAGGGGTTATTTATAAGATTAAGGGCCGTCTATAAGACTAAGGACTGTCTGTAGTGTTGCAGTGGCCTTGTCTGTAGAGAAATGGTCAGAGTTGATAGATTTGTGGCTGAGTCTGGAAAGCCTGGTGCCTGTCTGATAACATTGGGGCATAATATTAATTCATTTAGAGCTCCGTTGATTATCTTATCAAGAAATTGATTTTCTGAGTAAAATGCTCAGAACCGCGAGTAGGATTTGGAGACATGAGATTACGAAGTCTGTCAATCGTGGCGAAGATGATTTTTCAAGGTGTTCAAATGAGACTTCTGGATTTTTTAAAGACGTAATAATTTATTAACATAATTTTGCTGCCTTTTGAGGATTGTAAAGTTTTACTGTATCCCTTCAGTATAGCTTTATGATAAGAAAGGAACATAATAAAATGTGTGAATGTAGCATGTGAGAATAGATGAAAATAGGACAGACACAATTCCAACTTTGTACATCGTGTACATGTTTTGTAAATACTTTTAAAAAAACCCAGAATGTTTAGATGAATTTTAGTAACACAATGGACTTTTTTTCCAACTGTTGTTGTATTATGTCCCACAAAGAACAAAGTATTTTTTTCTTCAATTCTTTTCATACGTGGCAAGTAATTTCCTGTCATTTATGTGGTGCAATTTGTTACTTAATCCTTTTACTTTTTTTCCTATTAACAGCCACCACAGACGAAGTTTTGCTGCTGCGTGAACAGCTACGGAACCTGAGCTTGGAGATGATGACACTGAAGCACGCCCTCAATGCCAAGACAATGGCGACAGGCCCGCCACTCACCACGACAAATTGTAATGCATTCACGCACATTGTGCCATCTCCAATGCAAGGTGAAACATATTTTGGGCTACCCACCCCCACCCAAACAGAGCTGTTTGCCCATTCATGGTAGAAACTGTTCTTTTAGATAACTTTCCTCTCAATTGTTTCAGTAATTGCTAATTTTCCTGGAAGCAGATTAAAAGCTTTTGCACACATCTACATGTCCATTTCTGGATTATGTAGAAGTAGATGTTTGAAATAGCTCTTCATTTTCAAAAATCAATGACTAAGGCCAAAAAAAAAAAGTCTCCGGTTTCTGGTATGGAGCTTGTCCAAAAAGTGGTGCGGCGACGCGGCTTTTTTTTTTTTTTACCCGACTTTTTTGCTTCAAATGTCGGCTGATGACTGCAAATGGTGCCCGACTAAACTTAGTGCAAATATATGGGAGTCCAGAGAGGCCACATAAAGCTTATTCTCGATCATAACCCCATCTAAAAACACGTTGAAATTGCGCAGCAGCAGAATTCCAATCAAACCAGTGAGTTTGGCGGTTTTGAGACATCATCTTTCATTGAAAAAAAACCTTTTTCATTTTGCCGACGCGCATGGCTACGGCGACGCGCGCGCATACCAGAAACCGGATACTTTTATTTTGCCTAATAAGCACCTTATGAAAATGTGGCACTGTTTAAGAGAAAACAAGTTTGCATTTTCTCTGTTTGCATTTTGTGCTGACAAACCCTTGGCCTTGTCTGTCAGCTGAGCCGTGTCAAAATTCTCAAATTGTGCTGGCCCAGGACTTGGCCATTGTGTCACAGAAATGCTAAAATCCCATTGGATAATGCTAGGATAATATTTGGGCATATTTCACGTTCGGCACACAATTGTCACATTGTTGATTTGAGGGTTGCTCCGTCTTTGAATGGGTATAAGCCTTAAACCAGTCACTTCCAAAGCATGTGTGAAATCCAGCGCCAAGCGAAAGAAAGAAAAGAATAGTATTTTGTGGTTCATTTGACGTTCATGCAGTCGGAAAAAAATAACAAAATCTCAAGTCAGTTTTCACTTTACCCTAACCATGCTAAAATCCTATAGTGGCCAACAGTGAGCAGTTCAAGTCAGTAGATTTTGGTGGTAAGAAACTTTGCTAATGTTGGATTATGTTGGAATGGCAGAGGGGTTAGGGTGTTTTTGTTTGTTTGTTTGTGTTTTTGTTAATAGTTATTGATAAATGGCTAGAATACAGAAATTACAAGATTATAAAGGGAAAATCTCTTTGGCATTAGAGGGTGCTCTTTTTCATTATCAAATCATTCAGATTCCTAGGGGCGGGGGATATTTTTTTTTAGAATCAAGTGAAAACTAATCATCTAAAGTCTTCTTGTTTAATTACTGAAACAACAAAATTCCTGGGTGACAAGCACAATGCAATTTTTGGTGGTGGTGGGGGGGGGGGGGGGGGGGCACTGGGAAGTTTTCTTTTTTTCATTTTTCATGTCCCTAAGCCCCTCCTTGGCTCACCACTGCTTCTCAGCTCCGAATGGCGTTGTGGATGAGCCCATGGCAGGTCCAGCCGGACGAACTCAACCCGAAGACAAACGATAGATATAAAGTACATTGAAGTTCACTTGCCATTGGTAATAGCTTGCCCCGGTGAAACGGGAAACAGTTGTGATGGGTTTTTGGTAAGGAGAGAATGTAGGCCATTCCTCTTGCAGTCCGCCGTTCACCTCTCAGCTTACTGAAAGAGAATCAGCCGATATATCCCTAATGACAGGCATGTGGCATCCGAACCGTTAAAGAAACACGTTATTTTGGAGCCCATTGAAATCATTGTCAGGTTCTGTGTTTGTCCTAATCTTGTCCTGTCAGCTACAGTTTCTCTCCGCGGAAACATTTCCGAGGCGTCCGCCAAATAAAGAGCCAGAAACTCAATCCATTTATTGGTGTAGTTGTGAGGGTAAAGTGGGGGGGGGGGGGGGGGGTATTTGGAAATGGGACAGGAATTGAATGGGATTGTGTTTATTGACAGGTGACAGTTTGCATTGGGCTTGGATCAGTTTTCTCTTTTGTTTTCTGCAGGTCCTTATTCCCCACTTCCTTGTGAAAACAGAAGCCTCAAAAGGCAATATTTGCATTGTGGACTCAAAACTATCACACTGCAAACTTCCACTTCAATTCAGTCAAATGTAAAGTTTGGGCCTTGGCCTTTGGTTTTCAATATTCCTTTTTTATACCCTGCAAAATGCCAACTGAGGCAAACCATGAAACATGCACTTGTCATTGGTTAAGAATTGAGGATCCGTGTTGAAAATTAGGGCTTCAAGGTCCTTATGACCCAACCAACAATTTTACAAAAATACCAGTAATAGTTGAACAGTTGTATTATATCTTTGCATTCTAAAATTGCCAGACTTACAATGTTTGCTGGAAACTGTTTGGCTTTGTGAGTCAGTTGCCAAAGAATAATTATAAATGTTTTAAACATTACCCAGACCATATTGTTAAAATATAGATTCAAACAGCTAACTTATAAAGTATTAGAAACAGAATTCATAGCAAGGTAATTACAAGCAGCATTTGGAAATATTCATGCAAAAAAGGTAGTTTAAAATACTAGTCCCCAAAATTGAATATTATAATCCATTATCAATCAAAATCCACGACGGTCACATGCCACTATCTATATCACGTTAATTTCCTACCCAAGTGTGGATCAGCACGGGCCTCATCTGATTCTTAATTAAAGCTTTTTCTTTCCCCCCATTGCTTACATGTACGTGGTGTTGCCCTGAAGGGTTCTGCAAGCCGTTTTTGAGATAACAGCACTTCAGCTAAATTTTAATAAACGCTGCGATTGGCAGCCAGGGTTAGGTTTCGGTCATTGACATGGCTTGACTGCCGAGGAAATCACATATTTCCTTTCTTCGTGGCTCTTATTGTTTTGTTTGTTTCTCACTATAGCCAGGGTTTGCTACTCAGTAATTGCCGTTTCTCTCTCCAGCAATATTGCTTTAGCTTTGTGGCTTGGCCCTACGTTTTTATTTTACTGCTTAGGTAGCTTTGTGTTGGAGGAATCATTGTCTTTTAGACTCAATTTTAAGAAAATTATTGAACATGGACTTTATTAAATTTCTAGAAAGGAAATTGCACTTAAAGTGTTTTTCTAATTTTTAATTTTTTTTTATACAGTACAGCAATGACATTTCAGGCCCGGGGAAATTCTTTACAATTCAAAGTTGGTAAATCATGACTTCTCGACAGAAATCATGATTTGTTGGCATTGTGCTATCATGTTATGTCATTTTACAAAATGGCTTCCAGCATTAAGTGATCGATTTTGGAGGATTCAGAATTGGGTTCTTGCAAAAGAGTCTCCAGATGGTTCGGGTGATAAAAGTTAAAAATCCCTTTCAAAACTGCTAGAATTTTGACATAAGGTAAAAAATATTTGTTTTTGCTCATTTCATTTTGATAGTTGAGTCAGTAATGTAATTTCAGTGTTATTTGCATAATTAACAATATTCTCTCTTGGTTGCTCTCTATAAACCCTCATAATCCTTCAAATTGTTTTCCTGTGAACCATTGGAACCATGCAGGCCCTATTCATAAGAGCCGATTCACTCCTGACTACTCCTCCTGCTAATCTTAAGCAAATTAATTCACTCCCCCACCCAATTACCCCATTCTTACACTTTCCTCCTCTCATCATAAAAGAGAGAGAGCTGGGGGCGCTTTAGTCAAGCCCCAACCCGATCAATTGCTCAAGGCGTTACTTGTCCCACGCTCCGAAAAGTGCACTTGTACCCCACTACGCCTGCTGTTTAGGCAGAGAATTCGATATGGGTCCAAGAGGCATCTGTTTGGTGAATTAGAAATTTATCCTCGGGAAAATCCATTTCATTCTGTGTCTTGGCGCTTTGTCTGTGCAGGAGAAACACAGTGCATCTTACCCTGAGCTATAGCAAAGTGAAATTGATTATATGTTCTATTCTTTTTGGCTTTATTCGCTGATCACCTCACAGTGGATTCATAGAAAAGCCTTGTTTTTGCTCAAGTTTCATATTTTGTAAGATTAAAACAAAATTGTTGAGAGGAGATTGTGCAAACTGACTCAAATATTAAATGACTTAGTTTGATATTGTGGGATTCATTTTGACCAAGTCACAGCATAAGATACACCACAAAGGGTTCAAGATTGTGACTAATCAAGCCCCCCCCCCCCCCTACTTACCATGATTATAGTTCTCTTGCCAAAAATTTCTTCAAAATTTCAAATAACCAACCTTTGTCATGCATTTTTCTCTTTAACAATGTTCAATGTACAATGTACAATGTATAGAGTGTAAATCACTCTAATTGTAGACAAAAAATACTTGGAAAAATTGCTGCTAAGAAAACTCAAGAGAAAACTTGATCTACATGTATGCGATCAAATGAATTTCACTGTAATCTGTTTTGTCCCTAGTTTCAGTTCAATGGAGTGAATTTTCACTCATAGAATTTTTACTCCGTGAAGATGAAACAGAAATTAATTGTCAGTGCTCACAAAAATTGAAGAAGTCTCATTGCCTATGCTTAGCTTACCACAAAACAATGAAGTTGTCTTATTATAAATTATTATCATTAAACATTTCTGGTAATGAAACCAAGAATTCCTCAAAAGTGCCATATCACTGTAGCTCCAAAGCCTGAAGAAACCTGTAGAGAGGAGACAATGAGAAGAAATTACAGTTTGAGAGGTGGGAGGAAAAGCCCACATTGATGTTCTAGGGGAAACCCATGGAATCAGGACTAAAAACAAATCCACATATTGGCCCAGGCAGGATTCGAACCTTGGTCACGGCGGTGTAAAGTGAGGAAAGAACGACTACGCCAACCTGAAACGGTATCCCTCTTCTCGGCGGCGTAATGACTCAAACCACTTCCAATCTGCCTCAAGCATCTGCTCAAATCCAACCCTCCAAAACTGGCCCCACACACTTGAATTGATAGCCCCAAGCACTCTATATGCTAATCCAGATTTCTATCTTATACTCGCTAACAAATTATCAAAAAGATTGAATAT